TGGCGATAAACGAAGCTGGATATCGGCCTGGCGAGTTTATTCACTCCCAGAGGGTCAGGAAATCAAGCGGGTTCTACAAATTACGCTCGCGCGAAATTTCGCTTCGTTACGAACATTGTGTGAGGAATTTATGGGTGCTTCAACTTTTCAAACTGTTTGTCTATTGCTAGTTATTGGTTTGCAAGAGAAGAAATTTGTTTTCCAAGTTCTGACAAAGACCTGTTCAAGTTGGAATGCGATTGCGCGGAAAGCAACAGCTGGACTGAGAGCTAAATGATTTCTTCGAGGCACAGTTTTTCTACAAACCGTCCAAAAAACTGGAAAGCATTGGAAAGAGGAAGACCATCCCTAAACTGAACCCGCAAGAGAATGAGAACGGTCTACCAACACCCGATGTGTGAGAAGAATAATTAAGAAGAATTGACCATGACCAAAGACGACCTGGGCTTGAATAAAGAGTGCCGGACGGAACCAAACTCCGAATATTTTTTCAGATGACACCGATAATGAAGCACTAAATGGCGTTATCACATATCGAAACGGGCAGTTTCCCACCGTTCAAGCAAAGCAAGATCGGAAGGAAAAATATAAGAAGTTGCGGGATGTTTTCGGGGTGCGGCGATCCTAGGATGCCCTGTGGTTTCACAAATGAAATTCAGCCTTTTATGTGCCTTTAAACTCAGAATACACCACATCCGTCAATGAAAAGTACCCACAAGAATTTTGTTCCCTGGAAATTTGATGATTTGAGGCTGGATCAGTGCTTCAGGCGGGCCTCCACAGGTTTTTATGGATAAAAGCGCGGAAATCAATGGAAAGGTCTATCAAGAAGGGATCCTTGAGAAAGCTGTTGCCCCCTGGAAGTAGAATCATAACAATTCTGTCTTTCTACAGGAATGCGCTCGGGCCCATGGACCAATGCATCAATCCACTTCTTCGAGACCAGTATCGGCTGTTTTGTGGCGACGGATTCGTCATCTGCTTACAACCCTGCTTGGGGTTTTATTGAAAACTACTAAAGAATCGAAGTGCAAAAAGTTTTGTGATTCTGAAAAGAACTGCCTAAAATTTGGAATGAAATATGCGTAGAACACCTCCGCCGCACCATCGACTCGCTGAAGAAACAAATTGAGGCCTGTATCAAAACTGATGGCAGCTACTCCAAATCTTTTTTGCAGTTATAAAATGTCAAGGTTCGATGTTTTATAAAATCAATTGCTTTAAAATTTTGTGCGCAAAAAATGAAGTTAGAACGTGTTTTATGGCGCACGTAATTTTTCGCCACCCTGTATATTTCGGCGATCAACGTGAGCAATGATCTCACGCACGATATTAACAGACGCCGCGAAGTTTGCTAGACCGCTCCCAATGAACTCTGAGATGTACTCACTTAAAATACGTAGTCCCCAAAATCAGGCTCACGTCTTCTACACGTTGACGACCGTGTGGTATGATGTCATATCACATTGCACATAGGGCAGACTAATTTTCTCAATTTTCTCCTGTTCCACAACGGTCCATGTACATTATTGAATCCAAAAAACTATTTCTTCATTACTGATAATGAAAACGCTGAAGGATTAATGCCTATTGATGAGAGAATACGAAAAATGTTGAAGCAGTACGCGCACAACGGCGGTCGTCAACGTGTTTACTCGCATGTTCTTCACGCAGCGATGTACGGGGCGGAGACCAGGAGCAATATAGTTTCTGAAGAGGAGAAACTCGCAGTCACTCAGCGAGCCATGGAGAGGGCCATGTGCGGTGTAACGCTCCGAGACCGCATACCCAATGACACCATCCGAAACGCTATTAATTACACACTCGTCGTTCGGTGGACCAAGCGAATGGCTGTTTGGTACCCTAGGGGTAAAACAGGGTCCGTAGGCAGACTCCCCACCTGGTGGGCTGTCCAGAAAAAAGAAGAGATCGGAAGAGAGCGGCTGGAAGGTGTGCGACGCACATGAAGTGAGAAGTGGGTCACTGGTTTTCCTGCAGCCTTGAGCATTAATTGTGAACCCGTGCTTCAGCAAGTTGTACTTTGAACAGCCTTACCTAATTTCCGGTGGATAAGCCCGCGCCGATATCACGTAAAAACACCGCTGGTGCAGTGCACTTGCGTACATCTAGAGACAACCGTAACATGCCCATAGGGGTAATTCGATATGCTGATTACGAAAACGACATTCATTTTTAGCGGTGGCGCCATCTGGCGCCAGTTGGCGTCACCTTGTCACGACCCTTGTTTTCACCAAAATCGGTGTAAACTTCTGTATAGGGGTTATTTAATGCCTGAATTCGAATATTTATGTATTTTTATTTACTTTTGCACTCAGCGCCGCAGACAATCGAATCAGAGTGGTGAACAATCGTACAAGTACAGAGTTGACTACTAGATAAATTCTTATTTTAACACACGCCTAGATTAGCGACCGCGACCTAACTAAATGGAATGGAAAATAATGGATTTCTCAGAATTGAGTGACCTTTAAAAATGAATGTGAATGAGGAGCTCTCGAAGATACCAAATAGCGTCAGCGCCGAAAGCGAATGTTGTATTCGTAATCAGGAACACCAAATAACCCCTATACGGAAGTTTACACCAAATTTGGTGAAACGGGTGTCGTGACAAGGTGACGCCAACTGGCGCCAGATGGCGCGCTGAAAATGAAAGTCATTTTCGTAATCAGGGCATCGACTTACCTCTATAGGCAAATTTGCGGTGGTTTCTAAGGTGTACAAAGTTACACTGCACGAGCGGGGGTGGTTTTACGTGAAATCGGCGCGGGCTTATCTACCGGAAATTGGATACTTTGCATAATATGGATTCATCGCCATTCCAATCGTGTGAATTTTTAACAAGTAAGCAGTGCTGTAGTGAGGAAGCAAAGTCTCTCGGCGAAAACCGTTGTGCAGCGATCCCCTGTCGCGAACGCCTTCCTGTCCGTTCCAGTCTGACGATCGAAAACGCCGGATCCCTTTTTCTCAACTAGGCCCTGTCTCGAGCGGGTCGTTCTGCGGTTCACGCTGCTCCACGGAGCATCTATACGGACAGCAATACAAACAACGATAACTATTGCATAAGCGGATCATACGGCGCACGACTCGGGCTCCACCCTGAGCACTAATTCCAAACATATTGATTACCTCGGATCTGGCCATATTTCCGGATGTTCGTTGCGGGAATTCTACGCTGCGCTCTGCCTTCTCTCCTCAAGTCTTTTGAGGGTTCAGAGCCGATCCCTTGGGCCTAAGCGGGGCGATTCCAGATAGGGACGAAGGGTGTGAATGTGCAGGGCCTTGGAGCGAGACAGAGTCTAGGTGTGCAGCGCGCGCCTGAGCAAACGTGGCAAACGTGGCGATCCGCAACATCTACTGGAAATAAGCCGTCGCTTCTTCGTCAGTAGATGAATATTGACTGTTCTTTTCAGTTATTGCGGCCAAATATTTGATTGTTTCTTGGAGACGCTTCATTTCAGTATACGCACACAAGGCATAAAATAATCAGCGCCTAGTTACTAAGTTTCATCTTAGTTGGCTCAAAGGTGAATAAGTACCTCTCAAACCGTGTTATCTTGTGGGCGACAATGCGATTTGTCTGCCTCGTGGGACCACAATCTTTGATCTTTTACACAAAGGCAAGATTCGGGATAAAATAGGTGTGGAAAAGCGTTCAGTTATGAAGCTAGAGGTGGGAGGTGGTCTGGAAAAGAGAAGAAAGCAAACGAAACCACCGATTACGCCCCGCACAGAGACCTCCCTATTTCAGCCGCATTCCACCTTGGGATAGAGAAGGGGCGCGTTGGACGAGTTTCACGAACCTAACTCTTTGCTCCAGTGCCAATGACATTGGGTCGCAATGGGACCGCTGCCTCAAATGCGCCCGCGCTTTCAAAGCAGCGCCACGTGGCAACCGACAGCGGAGGGTTGGGGCTTGCGGACGAAGGTAGTGGAGTTCCAGCCTCAGATGAGCTCCTTGTTGCGCACTTTCAAACGGCCAAAGGGCGCGACATCAACGCTTCTCCGCCTGTCTGCTATCCCCAGGATAGAACAGGCGAGCGCGGATCTTTCCTGTTATGACAGCGAGAGAGAGAGATAGAGACAGAACGCTGCGAGGAAGACGGGAGAGCACGTCGTACGCAAGAAGGCACAGACGCCACGTATGTCGCGATGGATGGGGGTGACAGCGTCACAGTCGTCGAGCGTAGGCATTATCTTCCCTGTCGCGCGATTGCAAGTCGCTACAGTACCACCAGCCCTGTAATTAGGGGTCCCACTAACTCGCTCCAGAGAGATAATGGATCCTTAGCCCATATCTGAAGATATGGGCTAAGGACCTTAGCATTTGTATCTTTTCGTTTGACCCGGGGATTATTCCGGAGCAAGCTAGGAAAACTTCAATTCTCCATTCCGGAATCCGTCACTGGGGTTGGTTCTAGTTGTCTTTGGTGAGAAGTTGTTTCAGTACTCACTAAAAGTTTCCATCCCGGAAGCTACAATTGGGAGTTGTTCTAGATCTTTTTTGTGGAAAGTTTCATCGTTTCTTCTGTTAATTGCAAGCAAAAAGCCAGCTGTATGAACTTGAAAACAACCAGCTTTAACTTCAGAAAATTATCTCAAATAAGTGAAACACTGAGAAAGGTATGTACGGACGGGGTTACCATAAGTATTGCAGCGCTTCCCGATTGATATGTGTTAGTAATAAAATTGAAACCTGCGCAGTAGTTTTTTTTTCATGCTGTGATCCCACGTTGACCCGTATTGTCTCTTGTAGGGAAAGTGCGTCCCATGTCCCGAAGGGTAAGGCACAAGACAATTTAGTTGCTTTAGTTACAACAGACAAATTATTGCCTAGGAGACAGAGTGCAGCCTAAGAGACGCCATGAATCTAAGCGCCTGTAGATTAAGCTTGTTTAACAACCGTAGGATCTACAACAATGGTAGGGAATTTATGGAATCGCGCGGTGAGTTGAGCTAGAATTGGGAAGGCTCGAGGAATTATGAGCCAGTCTCGGCACAACGTTCAATTCCCAACACGACCACACCATAACTCCACGCTGAACTGGTGAGGCATGACTGGACGGTGCTCCCAAAGCCGCCCAAAGCCCTTCTCCACCTTTCTCGTTACTTCATTTTCAGTGCTAGCTTTAAATCGTCAGCATCAAAGTGAGAAGTCGTTGCCACAAGGTTTATTCGGTTGATTCGGAACTCTTAAGCTACGCTGAGAGACTGATATTAGTCTCTTGCCATTTATGAAATTGCGAATAGACACTATTTTCAGCAAGAGCACACATTCCTAATGTTTTCGCGATGATTTGGTGTACTTTTACTTGTCACCTTCATATTTTCTGTTCCGTTGAAAGTGGCACTAGTTTATTACTTCTAGCTACGGAATCTGTGGATTGATGTGATCGAGCTTGTTGCTCACCAATGGACCCTGGTTAAATGTGACAACTTTTTCCATTCCTATAAAGCCTTAGCTCACCTGCATTTCATGGAAACTGTGAATTGGGCTTCACGAGCTCTACTTCAAACGTCTACTGTTGCGGGAAGCTTTGTTGGGGATTCTTAAGGCATCTTATCAATTCTGATTCTTTCAGGAATTGCTTATCCAATTTTTGGGAGCTTTCGGTTCAGAGCAAGATCGTTTATCGGTATGACGTCGCTGTTTATTTGGGGAACCGCGCAAACAGTAGAGCTGTGAATTACTTGCGTGGGCCCCGAGACGAGTACGTTCTAATTTCTACTTCTTACTTGATTGTGACAGCCCGCTGTCTCAACAGTTCGATTATCGAACACACTTTTTACAGTTACGCGCAAGTAACAAGGCGTAGAGTGTGTCTGTGCGCTCTACAGTTAATACTGGCGCGTTATCACATTGCTAGTGAAGGCTCTGCCGTCATCTATGATGGGAGTGCTATCATGTTTTCATCTGAGGATCTTGCTCCTGCTCTAAAAGAGGTATGGTTGATAATTTGAATAGCGACAGAGACATTTAAACTCACATTTTTTTCAGCATCATGGAATATTAACAATCAACACAGGTGATCTTCCAGTGCAACTGAGTAAGCAAATTAGATTTTACTGCCCATCTGGCGATACTCTAACCATTGAAATATGTCGATGTCGAGATGACGCAACTTCATTCGACATAGCCGATCTCTCAGCACAAGTGAGGGTATATAAAGTTGTAAAGGGGCTCGAGCTTTTTGATGGTCAGTTCATTTTTTCCATGTGAGTGGAGGGTTGGGCAGCAGAGAATTGGGTAGGAGGAAGGGGTGATGATCGACATTTTCTGAAAGGGAATGATCGGCTCGTAACTACATCTTCTTATAAAGTTAATGCATCGACGATAGCGAGATGCGCCTCGCACCTATGTCATCTATTTTTTTGTGCATGAATGACATCTTTGCTGATCCTTTTTATTTAATCCATTGTCGTAACACTTGTCATAAAAGTGTGAACAATAGAATGGTCAAGTATTACTTTAGCTAACAGAGCATTTTAGAGCCTTCATAGTCATCGGTTCGGTTTCTCTTTTACATGGGAGTTGTTAGTTTTCATAAACCCAGTAAATTTGCTTTCTCATTGCTGTGAAACGTCCTCTCGAAATTATACTTTCGTAACTCTGGGTAACTTTGACACATTGAACAATACTGAAGTAATTTTCTGCCATCCCTGTTTGTGTTACATCTTCCCAAATCCATGCGTAAGGTGCGGAGGTGGCCACGCTAGCAAAATCGCGCCGGTCTCACGCGAAGTTGGAATTGCGCTGTTGCTAATGTATTAGGATAAGAAAATTTGGTATTCCCGGAAGAACTCGGCAACCGTACCCGTACTCCCTTTACGCCTTCCACTTTTGTCAGATCGATACCTCACGAAGGGAAGCGTATGCAGGAAA